CATGTAGTAAGGAGGCTGGAACTCTTTAAAATATTTTAAATACTTTCTAAAAGAGTAAGAAGAAAAAATAACATACTTTTTGCGTACTTTTTATGTGGAAAGACTGGGAGCTTCGTTTAGTGCCTTTACTCAAAGAGAATTTGGAGAATAAGATTTTTTTTAATATTTCACATTTTTCTGATTTGTACTGTAATATCTGCAGTAAACAGTGATAATGATGAAGTGTCAACATGTAAAATTATGTTGTCACTCAGATGATGACATTATGTAATTGTGTCTCAGTATCTGATGGATACAAAAAGCATAGCATTTTTTGTGATATCAAACCCTCCACCTTCCCGAGGACACTAATTACATAGGATTGTGAGAAAGTATGTAGAAATCATTATGCTCTTCATGGCACTTTATTACAGATTAATTTGCTCTTAATTTCTATCCAAAGAGCATTTAAAGAAGCAAGAGGCATTATACATTCAGTCAGAAGCTGGGATGTGCTGGTCAATCTAAATGTGGTCTATATCAATGTTTATGTATTCCTTACTCCATTCTGTCAGATTTTTTTTTACTTTTGCTCTAAGAGGGGAAGGCTTAGAAGAATTTTAACTAAAAGCTAGTTTCCTGTGATTTTAAAAAATAAACTGGAAGTGAATCCATAATCATTCTGTGCATTTTTCTTCAATACGAATTTCAAAGTGCCCAGCTTACACCATAGTGAATACTTTCTAAAAATCACATTTGTCAGAATCATGTGTTTTGCATGTATCTTTCCCAACTATGTTGTTCTGTACCAAATATGAGAACATAATGTACACTAGTGGATGTCTGTTCACTGCTCCTGGTTATGCTGTAATTAGGTCCAGATTGGTAAGATTAATAATATGTCACTTCAAAGGAAAACAGTGGCAGATTTTTTTCCATTCCATTTTTCCCAATTTCCTCTTTCATTGCAACATCCTAGGTTGCTACGTAGAGGCTCCAAGGCTGAAAGTTAGACTGGATAGAGGGGGGAAAAAATCCCAGATGACTGTTGCCAAGAAAACATTACAGATAGTCTTCAACTTACAACCATTTGTTTAGTGACTATTCAAAGTTACAACTGTAATGAAAAAAAATGACTTACGACTGCGTTTCATACTTACGACCATTGCAGTAACCCAAGTCACCTGACACCAGGGCACTTGGCAACTGGCATATACTTAAAGCAGTTGCACTGTCTGTCTATCTCAGGGTCATGTGATCACCATTTGTAACCTTTCCCAGCCAGTTTCTGACAGTCAGTCAGTGGAGGAGACCAGATTCACTTAATGATCGCATGATTCACTTAACAACTGCAGTGATTCACTTAACAACATTGGCAAAAAGATCATAAAATGGAGCAAAACTCACCTAACAACTGCCTTTCTTGGCAATGGAAATGTTGGATTCAATTGTGGTCTAAAGCAAGGACTACCTGTAATATATTAATGTAAGCATTAAGATTTGGGCTAGGGAAACTATCTTTTAGCATATAAAAAGGTTTGATTTATCCAGTGAGGTCGAATCAGTTCATAGTCGTCTGGATACTGGCAAGCATTTTAGGCATTCACTATTTTTCAGTAAAGAAACCTATGTCGTAATTTTGGAAATTATAGACTTAACGAGTGGTTGAGTCCAGTATAAATTTTGTTTTAATTTTTAAAGTAATGGCATTCATCCAATAGACCAGACCATATGTCCCATTTATCATTATGCATCCTTAGCAGTCTTCAACACTGTTTCGTTCTGATTTTCAGGATCCACAGATCTTCAGGGTCTGTGGAAGACTATAAGCTTGAAATGAGTTGGTAAGGATTTGGTGGAAATCATGTGTTTTCATGCATGAAATCAGAACCTCCTTGTATCAATCCGTAGAGCAGTAGTAGACAGTGTAGTCGCCCTCCTGTCCCAGGCATGCAATACTTACAAGCTTTTTCCAAAATCAAGAACTAGGAACTTAAAAGGTTTTACAATTTCAAAGATTATCAGCATTTTAATATGTTTTCTTAATTATTCTTTGATAACCACATTTGACCTGTTTTATGACCATTTGAGATGTTCCTGCGGCCATCTTAATTTTCCCAGCCTACGTTTATTTATTATTATTTATTTTCTCAGTGAGAGGCTGAGAAAATCTAAATGTCTTCTTTTCTATCTGGTCTTGTGCATAATTACTGATTATGTATTTTTTTTCCAGTTAAGTGTATTTTGCACTAATTAATTATATATTCCTCTAGGTATGCAAGAATTGTACAAGTTGCTTTGATCGACAGATACCATGTATTTCATTGAACTGTCCGGTACTTTTCAAAGTCTCCAGAGTGAACCGAGAATTATCTAAGGCACCATATCTTCGTCAACTACTTGATCAGTTTTAGATTACCTAATGTCACAGGATTCCAGGTGCTATTTTTGTTTTCAATGTTTACCACTCTAAAATTGTCATGCATGGTCCTTCAATTTCATCCTGTCCAGGATTTTCATACATTGTTGATGTGTTCTAAAAATAATGAATGTTTGTTCTAAGTAAATTAAAAATACATTTGATAATCTGTTAATAATTCATTTTTAATGATGCCATTCTTTTGCCTTTTTAACATTGTTTATAATACAAATGTTGAAATAACTGTGTTAACATCTTGTAAACCCATTTCAGAATTTTAAAAAAATTCTGTGGATTTCGGTAGTAATCCTGAAAATCTTTGGAAAACTGCTATTGTGTTTTATTGAACTATCAGGATATGTGTTACTGATATCTCATCAACTTTAAATTTTGACTGCAAAATATTTTGTAAATACACTTTTTTACTTTTCAAATACTGACTAAAATAATGTGCAATGGATTTTATACAATTCTAAAGTTGATTGGGATATTTCTTCATTTTGCTTGATTCCAAGTAGATTTGTTGTTTTGATGAAACTGCAAACAGTAGTAAGTGTAGCATTTTTGAAACATTTTCTAAAATCACTGTCTTGCTTTGGCTATTAATGGGGGCATTGTGAGGAACTGTGCAAAGACATTTTTGTTATAAAACTGTGGGACTGTTGCAATACTTTAAATAAAAAAATCCATTTTTGCTTTTGTATAGACATTTCTATTGCTTCTAAATATGCTTAAATATTTCATTATGTACTGTACAGTTAAAATTTATTTGCCATCATAAGAAAATGTGTATTTAGAATATTTGTATAACTGTATAAAATAAGAAATTATGTGGTCACAGTACATTTTTTTAATTGGAAATCATTTTGTTTTTAAAAATTATTGCAACCATAGTAAATTTAATAAAATCAAATAAATGTGCATTTTTAAATCTCATCGTAGTTGTACTGGAATGTTTTAAACAATGTTAATAAATTGATGTGAATTAGAGTTCTCTTTAATGAGTAGAAATTGCTCAGTGTTGCTATTCAAAAAGTCTATAATTAATATATAAAATGCCAAAAATATTTTGATCTTTTGAATTTTACTGAAATAATATGGCCCGTGAAAATATATGAGCTGGCAAATGCTATAGCCTACTGATCTTTGGAGGAAAAAAATGGGCACAGAAGTAGCCAAATGATCCAAGCAACTACAGTGAATATACGTAAAATCTCATGAGTTGCACCAAAGAATTCTGTCAATAATTGTGCTTATATGATATATATGAAAAATATTAGTATCAATTTGTTTTCAACATGTTAAAATTGATTTTTTTTTTGCTCAGTAACATAACAATCTTTTTTAAAAAGTGTTCAACCCAAACTAATCAGACCAAATATCTTATGAAATAAATAGATTTTAAGTGTTTTTTTAAGGCCAAGAGGATTGAGACACCCTATACACCAGGAAAGCAATATATTTCAGTTGTGGGGACAGACATAGATAATATCTAGCTTCTAGGAAAGGGGATGTGAGGGTCCCCAGTTGGTCTTTATTGTATGATATTGGTCAGGAAAGATAGTCCCAATAATTATTCTGGAGTGACTGTAGGATTTTAAACAGGGCCACCCTTCCCCCCCAGCTCCATTTTTGCTGGCAGAGCGCTTGGGCCACCACAGGTGCCCCCCAACACAAGTGACGTTATGCTGGCCATGCCCACCCAGCCCCCTGAGGTCAAATACAAACCTGATGTGGCCCTCAATGAAATTGAGTTTGACACCCCTGATTTTAAAGGTAATGACCCAGATGCTCCTTGGCCTGCAGGCCTTTCAGCCATGCCAACAGAGGCAGAGGGGCAAGATCCTGACCCCTGAACTATACAAGCAAAAATCTTGCTACAATCAATAACGCAAAAATAGTTGCCTTCTGAATTTTTTTAAAAGAAATTGTATTTATTGACAATATTTGTAGGCCAGACATTCCACCTAAGCATGCTAAAATATTTTTAACCATATTGTGGAACACAAAGAAACAGGGTACTACATATACCTATTCCCTATGTGCCATGATAGAAAATTTTCCTGTGGAGAAGGAATTCTCAACAGGCCCTTTACTAAGTTTAGGTGGGCAGAATCCATTTTGGCATTTAGCTGGCATATATCTTGGCATATATCTTTTTCCTCTACAAATATTTATCATTTTATAATCGCATTTGTAAAGAGTAACACTATATTTTTTCCATTACTCATCACCCTCATTTGCCTCTACAATCTCCATGGTTACTCAGGAGTAATTTCATTTTAAAGTATTTTATTTCTCTTGTCTACTTAAAACCAATTATTTCCTCTGTTTCATAAAAGCTTGCCTGTTTGTTGCTATTCTTCATGAAATAGTTTTCATTACCCTTTCATAATAAAGTCTATACTGCGTATTACATCTTTGTTGTTGCCCAAGGCTTTCATCTTCATCTTCAGCTTATTATGAAAGACAACCGAATCCTTTTTCACTTTCTAATGAAAAATCTAATACAGTATATTTGTAATTGATTTCCTTGTAAACAGGTCTATTATTATTCAAGAGAAATAACATGTTCCAATTCTCCAGTAAATATACTCCCTATTTCATTTTTATTACAAAATTATTGTAACATTGGGAACACACAAAAAACCATATCCAAGCAATAAGTGCAATACTTAGGGCAAATAACATACTGTGGAACAGAAAAAAGTATCAAAAGGTATAAGTCAAAGAGATTCATAGTACTATTAACTTCAAACGTGCACACATCCAAAAAGATACATACACTGTTGGGAGACATGATCTCTCCCAGTGATATTAAGGGTTACATTCAACAATAGGTAAGGCAATGGCCACTCATAGCCATCAGTTTCCCTTGGTGGTCTACTTTCCCCACAATTTGATCTGCACCCAAAGCGCCCTCAGAATAACTTCGGTCGTGTTTATTAGTATGTAGAGAGAAGGCAGATTCCAAACTTTCCAAGTGTCTATTCTACATGTAAATTAATGTTCAGTAACTTCAGTCACAGCCTACTACAAAAGCTGCAGCAGCAGTTAATTATCTAGTAAGAATAAGAATCATTAAAATGATCCTCATCATCACAACTCAATCATCACTTACAGTAGTATAGAAATGCTAACATTATTGTATTTTAAGCATATCTGATGTTCATTTTATAAGCATCAAGTTATTATATTATCAGTGAATATATTTTGATCAAGAATTTTTTTAAAAATGATCAAAAATTCAACATTATTTCTCCAATACTAGCCACAATAAGGCTTTCTGAATAGAAAACATTGGTACTGTAGAGATAATTAGCACTGATTTTTCTTTTCACAATGACAATATTTAATTTTTAAGAAAGTCACTTTTTCAATTAGCCTTCCCAGCCTGACTATATCTAAATATTATGGTTCTAAATTCCTATAATCTTTACCCAACACAAAAGTCCTGCTGGTTAGGAATTATGAATGCTGCAGTCAAGCACATCTAGAAGGCGCAAATTGGGAAAGGCAGCTTCAGAGCGTATCACCAACTCTTGATAGATTTAGAATTTTTAATCATAGTTACATCGACTATATCTTAACAATTTGCTGAAAGTTAATTTTTGAAAGATATCACCAGATTTTTACTGATTTATACTTTATAATAGAACATCTCTGAGGGGCAGTTTCTTAGTTTTTAATTTTAAAACTGAATTATCCAAGAAATTACATGAACGTATCAAGTACCATAGTATCATGCTATTTAAATATAAGGTCACTTAATAGTGTGGCTGGGATGACACCAAAAACACACCATTTTATTTTAAATTATAATTCCATACTTGAAAATGCAGGTAGAGGAAAAACAACCCAGTTTACATTTTGAAATGATCACATTTCTGAGACACAAATTCACCTTCCTTACCCCTTGAAGTCTGCAATGAACTACAACATTTATCTCATAAATCCCAAAGCAGCCGTGGGATTCCTCTTGGTATTGCAGGTGATCTTCCCTCTGCTTTGCAAGCATGACCTGAGATTATACTTCATCATTGCTAAACTCGATGAACAATCTTCACTCCAGTTTATTCAAGTCAGAGTTACTGTATTATAGCAGTATAAACTCAAATCCTTTTCAGCAATTATTTCCATTATACAAAGTGCTTCTGCGCAAAATTTTAAAATACGTATTGGCTAATTTAACCATAACTGTGGTCATGTACTTATTTTTTAAAAAATAATTCTTTTTGTTAAATAGGATAGAATATATTTAGGATTCAATCTAAACACATGGAACTGTTGAGTTAGAAATGCACGGATTGATTTTCTAGATTTATCTTGTTTCCAGAGATGACTTTCAATGAATTCTTCAGCCTCTTCTAGTACAGTACACAGATTATAAACATCATTTTATAAGCCAACAATGAGTTCACAACCCCTGGTCCACAACCCAGAGCCAGACTGTGGCCCATTGGTAACCGGGCTGCCCAAACAGTGGGCGAGCGTGCGCATGCACAAAGCTGCATTGGTGGAAGTGGCACACACATGAAACCATCCCCCTCTCTACCTGCTCTCCCCTCCAATCTGCCAATCTGGAAAGGTTGGGGACCTCTGGAGTAGAAAACAAGTTCTGTTTATTCATTCTAATTATAGTTTTCACTTTCCTGAAAAAATATTAAAAGAAGACATTTAGGAAACCTTCTACTTTGAGTCATTCTCATGGTTAAACAAAGGGATTCCACTCCTCTTCAGAAGTTACCACTTCCCTCAGACTTTAAAATAAGGCTGCCTTGGTTAGAATTCAGCAAACTTTCCCCCAATATTGAAATAATATATGATCTTAAAGTTGAAATTCTGATCTGAAATTCTTTTGCGCTACAATAAGACAACTCAATCATTCTTATTTGAACTCTTCTGTTTGGGAGATTTGACAGCAAGTACAGGAGAAGAATTAAATGACAAATTCTCTGAAGGAGTCTGGCTAGAGATGGTGGTAGTAAATTCTCCTTGGATCTTCTTAGAAGTCTCTATGACAGAGTTCTGGAGTGTGTCATTCATCTCAATTATTTCAAAGTCTACTGCATTCCATTCTCTGATTTCATTATCCTCCTCATCGTCTTCAAGGTAAGTGTTGGACAACAATGCTTCTTGAACTTCCCTGTCTCCAGCACCCTTCAATTTAGCATCATCAGTTGATGCCGCTAATTTACACATCACAGGGAACAGTACTGCTGTCATGACAGCTGCTCCCAATGCAGTGTACATGAGCACTGGGAGAGTGGGAAAATATCCTTGAAGGAAGCCAACTGCCGCAGGAATACACATTTCTCCTAGAGCTGCACCCATGACAAACATTGCTGCAGACTTCCCTTGAACAGTGGTATACTGCTCTATCCAAGATATGCCACTGGGAAAGATAGTAGCCATTGAAGCACCATACACTGCAGAACCAACCCACAGAGCAACTGTGTGCACATTGAAGAGGACCAGGAAGAGTGACGACACAGTAGAGCCTACGATACTTATCAGGATCATAGATCCAGGATAGGAGCAGGTCGCAAAGCAGATTGCCAGCCCTCTGCAAGCTGCAAAGGTTCCCCAAAAGAGAGAATTCAACCCTGCTGCTTCCATTTCTTTCATAAAAGCATAAGTTTTTGCATAAGTAAAAATGTAGGAGCCGTAGGTCACCTCTGCTCCAACATACCAAAAGAAAAACACAGAAAGAAGTATTATGAGAGCATGGTGATATTTTGCGATTTGGTATTTCTGCATGGCAAGTTTTGTTCTACCTTGAACAGGAATGCTCCTCCAATATAAAGTAAAGAAAAACAACGCGACAAGTAAGAGGTAAGTGCCAATCACAGCATAAGACCACACAAAATTCCCATTTAAATGAAGCTTCGGGAACAACGTAGCACCAGGAGGATTCATAGTTGACTGGTTTTCAATACTGCCGCCCAGATGTATCTGCAATTCAAGGGCAGAACCACCCAGTGCCATCTTCGCCAGGATGGGAGCCACAAAAGCTCCAAGGGCAAAGCTGAAATGCAAGGCCTGCATGTGTGGACCAGCTTCTGCTTGCCATGTGTCCAAAGCCAGAACATTCCCACCTGAAAGATACAGATTCAGGGTCAAATTTTCACATGAAAAAGTTTCATAGAGTTACATGACATCTTCACCTAACGCATGCCATTCCCTTCACATGCCAACTTTCATCTTTTCAAGGTAGGTACTACACTTTTGCAATTTTGCCATCACTAAAGCTATCTTCCCCCCCGCTGTCTTGTTTCTTTATCATTACAGGTCATTCCTGCTTTCAACTTTGTGAAATGATCACAAACGCAACAGAGGAGAGGGAGTCATGTGATCCTCCAATTCCAACAGTCCAAATTAATGTGGACAAGAGTAAAATTACCTGGATGCTGTCTATTATTAAGATGTAGCAGGACTAGAGAAATTCAAATTAAACTTTATCCTCAGCCACGGAAGTTCAGTGGATGAATTGGGACTAGTTGTTCTTTCATAGTCCAACCTAATTTCCAGGATTTCTGTGGAGAAAACCTAAAGCTGCTCGAAGAAAAGCAGAATATAAATCTAACCAAAAGTAATAAAATAAGTTCCAAGAACACTGCCATTCATCTGATACTGTATTCTTACAGATGGGCTATCTCTTCTTTATGCTCTGTTCATCTTTTGATTTTTTTTAAATTGCTTTTTCTTATGGCTGCACTTTCCTATATATTATATTTCAATGAAGCCCAACTTAGGAAGTGGCCATTTAAAATGTCAATCCCAACTCACTGCTAAGTGCCAGAATCCAAATTAAAGCATCATGTCCATGTAAATACACCCAGTGAACAGAAGCCCACCACTTTTCTAGGTAATTGGTTCTACTATGCTACTAACTACTCTTATAAATCAAGAAGTTATTTCCAACTTTCAGTTGTAATTTTCTTTGTTGTAACTTCAACATACTATTCTGTATCTTGCACTCTGGAATACTAGAAAACAGGCCTTGATCTTCCAATTACTCTACTCTTCTGGTATTTGAAAAATATTATCATATCTTCTCTCACTCTTCCAAAGGATAAACATTTGTAATTTCATCAAAGTTGTCTCTAAATATATTTGTTTCTATAAAACCTTAAACATGGTGTTCAGAATTGAACACAATACACAACGTAAAGGTTGTGTGAATACAAATTAAAGTGGAACTATTACTTTCTATGATTTCTAAGCTGTACTTCTGTTCATTTAATATCCAATTAGAGGCTTAGCAAGATCAGATCAACTTAATACTTAGACGACCAGAGAACTATGTTATCTGGCAAGCCGCTGTTGTTAAGAAAGCTGCATTAAGGTATCCATTAGTCTTACTCTTTTAAACAATCTTTTGGCTTTCTCCCTTGCTTTCTCACTCAGTCCTGGTCTAAGTCACCTTTCCATGGCTCTATCATGGAATTATAGCATTTCTCTTGATTCCCTCAGCAAAAACAACAATCTCCTGTAACCATCAACCAGAACATTACTGAAGTACTTAAAGCACCAATAATTGAAAGTTGGATTTATCAGAGAGTTGAATTCAGTCCATAGAATTTCCTGAAACAACTGTACCACATCAACTGGGTTTGACAACATCCATGTAGACAAAATTTTACTCTTTTAGACAAAATTTTGTTCTTTTCATTGAATGCATCCCATCTGTATATGCACGTATGTGAAGAAATATTTCTATATACAAATCAACTATCTTAGGGCTAAAGTATATACAATTCTCAATCCCTGAATATTTACCCACCCCACCCCCAGAAGAGCATGCAAGCAGGAAAAGGCAAATATAACCAAGTGGTGAAATTTAGTTTGGCCTTTGATCAAATAAAGAAATTTGCACGTTCAACTGTTTTGTGCACATACACACTTAGCAATGTATTAGGAACACATAATTTATTGTAAAGGAATGCAACACAGTCCTATTGATTGATCTCAACATGATGGAAGGACAAAATAGATCATACGTATAGTAAGTTTCTTTTTTTTTACCTGTATCCAGAATTCCCATTGCAAAACCAATGACCGACATCATGGTTGTTAACAAGATGGCTTTCTTACACCATGGAATAGCATATAGTCCTACTGTTGTACCCAGCATAGATAAACCTATAAATATAATTTAAAATTTTCAAACAGAACATTTTAAGAATTAAAATTGCTCATATTTCATTTTAAATCCAGTAAATTCAAAGCCAGTAAAATTTGTATTTGTATGGAGAATTATTACTATATCATGAAGAAATGTAGTTTATTTAATGTAACAGTCTTATATCAAAAGTAAGTCATGTGTTAGACTGCAATCATAAGCACTTATAATTTGGAATAATGCTATTGATCTCTATGGGGCTTTCTTCTGAATAGTATATTTTGGATTGTCTTTTTAGTTTCCAGAAGATTGCTCAATGGTTAGAAAGCATTGCTTCAATAGTTCAACCCACCAAAAGCATAACTGTAAAAGACAGACCAGAAATAAAAGTTAAAATAAGCAAAAAAAAAAAAAAGTAAGAGAACACCTGTCTGATCTTGATGAACACAAATCACCAAGGCCTGACAGATTATATCCCAGAGTTTTAAAGGATCTGACAGAGGTCATCTCAGAACCACTGCACCATATCTTTCAAAAATCCTGGAGCATCGGAGAACTACCAGAGGACTGGAAAAGAGCTGATGTGGTTCCCATCTTCAAAAAAGGAAAAAAAAACAGACCCAAGAAACTATAGACCAATCAGCCTAACATCAATACTCGAGAAGATACTGGAAAAGATAATAAAAAAACAGATCTGCCAACATCTAGAAACAAGTAAAGTAATAACTAGCAGTCAGCACGGGTTTGTTAAGAACAGATCATGCCAAACCAATCTTATTTTATTCTTCAACATAGTGACTAAATTAGTAGGCCAGCAAAATACTGTAGACATAATATATTTAGATTTCAGTAAGGCATTCAACAAAGTAGACCACAACTGGCTGACAAACCGTATTCAACGAGTAGTCCTTAATGGGTCTAAGTCTACATGGAGTGAAGTAAGCAGTGGGGTGCCACAAGGTTCCATCTTAGGCCCAGTACTCTTCAATATCTTCATTAACAATGAGGGAATAGAAGGGGAACTTACCAAATTTGCAGATGATACTAAGCTGGCAGGAATAGCTAACACCCAAGAAGATAGGCTCAAGATCCAGATGGATCTTGATAGATTAGAACACTGGGCCATATCTAACAAAATGAAATTCAATGTAGAGAAAAGTAAAGTCCTACACTTAGGCAAGAAAAACCAAAAGTACACATATAGACTGGCTGAAACCAGGCTCAATAGCAGTAACTGTGAGAGGGATTTTGGAGTCTTAGTGGACAACCAGCTAAATATGAGCCAGCAGTGTGCAGCAGCAGCCAAAAAAGCTAATGCAATCCTAAGTGGTATTAACAGAGGGATACAATCAAGATCAAGGGAGGTACTTATACCACTCTATAAAGCCTTACTAAGACCACACCTAGAGTACCGCATCCAGTTCTGTTCACCACATTACAAAAAAGATGTGGAGACTCTAGAAAAGTACAGAGAAGAGCAACCAGGATGATTAGGGGACTGGAGACTAAAACATATGAAGAATGGTTACAGGAACTGGGCATGGCTAGTCTAGTGAAGAGAAGGACCATGATAGCAGTCTTCCAATATTTGAGGGGCTGCCACAGGGAGGAAGGGTTCAAGCTATTTTCTAAAGCGCCTGTAGGCCAGACAAGGAATAATGGATGGAAACTGAACAAGGTGAGATTTAACCTAGAAATAAGGAGAAACTTTCTGACAGAGAGAACAATCAACCAATGGAACAGCTTGCCCTCGGAAGTTGTGGGAGCGCCATCACTTGAGACTTTCAAGAAGAGATTGGACTGCCATTTGTCAGAAATGGTGTAGGGTCTCCCGCTTGTGCAGAGGGTTGGACTAGATGACCTACAAGGTCCCTTCCAACTCTGATTATCTGTTATCTGTTAGTTTAGAAATACTGCAGCATAGAAAACAATTTGCTTCATCAATTTGAAATTGCTTATCATCCTTCCCCAAACCTTGATTTCTTCAGAATTCTGAAGAGTTTGTTTATTTGTATGCTGTCCATTCCTAAATGCATTAAGTGGCTAATAATCACAAACTTCATAAAATAACCCCTCCAATAACTATACCAATAAATTCATCCCAAATGAATAAAAAAAAATATCCCACCATAAGAGGTGAAGCAAAGCATATGAAGTCACGTGACCACCACTACGCGCAAATTCATAACATGGTTTCCTCCTGGGCTCCCTGGAAAAGCCTGGTTTTATCTGCTCTCCAAAACCCAGGAGAGAGGGGACTGACCAGATACAAGGCATAAGAGCAGCAATGGCAAATGCCTGTTTCCTAGGCACTTTCGGATGGCATTCTTGAATAGAGGAGACCTAACCAGAAATTACTTCATTTCATCTGACTGGATGGGCAGATGAACATGGAGAAGGTGGATCTTCAGATAACTGAGTCTTGAACCAGGAGACTTTGAAGGTGACAAGAAGCACCTTCAACTCCATCCTGAAGCCATCTGGCAACCAATGGGACCCCCAAAGCAGTGGGGTCACCCAAGTATAATGAAAAAATATTCATCCCTGACCAGCCTGCCGTGTTTTAGACTGGCTGTCACATCCAAATGCTTTTCAAAGGCAGTCCCATGAACAGTCTGCTACAGTCATTGAAATAGGAGGTAAGCAAGACTTCCTGTTTCAGGAATGGTGCACAAAGTGGAGCTCTGGAAAGGCCAATTGAAAGCCTCTTCTAGACTGCAAAAGGAAGTCTTCCATAGATAGGAAAAGAGTCTCATTAAAAAATGCCACTAAACTTATACAACAGTTCAGTGGTATTTCTATGTAATACATCTTTATATGTAATGTATTTAAAAGACCTAAAACCCATTTGTTAGTAAAGAATTGTACTTTTCAAACCAAGTCAAAGGATTGAGAACACTTGAGAAAGTGAAATCAAAAAAAGAGCCTGAAGTAATGTTCTAAATAATTAATGCAAATAAGGAAGCTATCAATAAAAATGCACTTCCTTGACCATGTTAAAAAGGGAATGACAATGACTTTGTTTTCTATTAGAAGGGATTTGCTGAACAGGAAGTATCAAAATATTTCAGTTCAAAGAGGGGATTACAGAAGAGAGAATTAGAAGTAGAGAGACAAGGGAGCAAAAAGGGGAGGGGGAAGAAGGAAAGGAAAAGACGTTATAAAAGACAGAAACAAGATATAGAGAAACAGGGAAAATGTATAAGGATTGAAAGTATAAGCCTATTTAGAGATAATGGGGGGAAATTTAATTGAAAAAGGGATTCTGCAAAGGTGCATAAGATCCTATTGTTATATTAGGAATAGAAATAATTTTAGAAAATATGAAACAATGTATGATTAAAATGATGAATACTTATTGTAATGCAGTGGAATGTTTGTTAATAAATAAATGAAATAAAATGAATGAGAGAATGAAATTAGGAAAGGATGGGAACATTTTAATTATTATTAATGATTTATAAAAATATAAGTTAAGAGAAATATGGGGGGGGGAAAGAATTATGAAAAGTTTATAAGTCTTCACAAGGAAGTATGATATTCAATTGAAAAGAAATGTTAAAGATGTTAAGATTCTAACTAATATTAATGATAGAATTGAATTGGAATGGAATGAATGTTTTATTTACTATTGATATATATGTATATATGTTGTGACTCCGAGACTTGAACCTGATCAGTCAGCAGATGTGGGTTCGAGCGATGAAGAAGATCTGGCACTGAGATTCGAGCCTGCATTATTAAGTGACTTAGAGGGGAGTTAAGTAGAGGGAG